AAGTTGTTTTTTTACAACGTGTACACCGAAAAGCCAACCCGTCCTGGCTGCGTGTAAACTCGTGTAAGTTCATTGACTGGCCGCAATCACAGTTACGTTCTCTCGGCAATAAATGCCGGTCTTGCATATATCCCACACACGCCCCGCCCTGAATTTGGTGCAACAGTCGATACATCTTGGAACCGTCCGACATGTTTCAAGGTCACCAATTAAAACAAATAAACCAGAAATACACTTCTTTATTTCATTGTAAAAAACAAAAATAAAAATATACATGAAAAATATCACAAAAAATAGTCCAAACGTTTAAAGCAGCCAGGTTGGCTCCTGAACCAGGAATAAGCGATTCAGGAGGGGGGTGACGGATGGTAACGTCCGCCTAAAATAGTTTTCTTTAAGAATTTAAGAAGCTTTGGCATGCCTATCATGTCTCCGTGGTTACATTTGGCGAAGTTAACCTACACTTATCAGGCAGAGTACAATACGGCAAAGGTAATTATCCGAACACCAAAATATAGGAACAAAGGGAAAATTGTTGGTATCAAAGTTAGTAGAAAATTCCAATTTCACAACAAATTCGCAAACCTGAATGAAAGGCAAGTTAAACGTTGTGGTCCGTAACACAACTAAGTGAAGGTTAACTGGGAAGGATGGGGGTTGTGCTTCAAGAACAGATGCGCAAGTCACGTCAAAATCATGATAAACTGCTGCAGGTAGGTACTACTTAAATCATAGATGAGTAGTATGTCTGGCCCGCACATGTAGATTTTGGCAATCTTCAACAATGAACAAGTGATCCGAGAAGGAGCTAAGGGTTTCAAAATTTTAACAGCAACAGATGTCAACAGCACTTCGAACTCCTTCTCCTCCGATCGAGTGTTTCATGAAAACCGTTCTGTTCCAGATAAGATGCTTTGTAATCCTGCTAACTGTCTATTCATACCGTTGTTTCAATGAACAAGTACTCACCTCGGCATTCTACATCTGGAATCATATTATTCCGCATAGATGAACAGCTTTTGTTAGATAATTTAGCTTTTATATGTAGCCATCTGCGTGCTTAAATTGCTCATTAAGTCGGTGGGTTAAACTTGATAAAATGTAATCAGCTTGATTCAATGGTCAATTTTTGATTACTGTAAACCAAGCAGCGCCTATTTGATTCATCACTAGATAGCAAACTTCTGTGATATTTGAATTTAGTGAATAGTAAGCCATTTATTCTCACATTGGACCAGGTACGAACAGTGATATTCCCCGAAATGGAAATTCTGAATTCAAGGAATAATAGTATGTTTCGAGGGTACAGTTGTACCTTCGACTTGATACATTTTTCATGAAAAGGCCCGTTACTGCTAACAGCTGCGAAACCAATCAATTTCTCTCGGGATATTTCACTTCTCTAACTTGAAGCTATTCTTTTATTTTTTTGTTGCATCGACATGTGTGTTTATGAAGGATTGAATGTAAAGCACTGCATGTTGATTGCTTGTTGTTGTGAGAATATGAGAATATGCATATACGAATTGTGAAGCGTGAAAAGATTATATTTCCGTTCATTACATATTATCGAGTAAAATTGCCGCCAAAGTTTATCTTATGGCTGTTGGAGATCACCTTGATTCAATAATTCAACAATCTTCGATTTAAAATTTTGGGATCGGGTCTCGAAATGGTGCACAACACAGGAACGCGTGGCTTTGGCCTATCATTTGCTCATTGTGGCCGGTCACGCTGTGTCTGCCAATGACACCAGTGCCACGATCGAGAACAAAGCAATTGTGTGCGGTGTGGAATCACCGGCGACATTTCAAAGCGGGTGGGATATTCTGCAGTATATGCAAAAGGTGAGTGAGTAGTCCGATGAATTATCCAGATCTGGTTTGTCCCCTCCTTATATATATCATTCCTGCTAAATTGGAGGATTGACAGTAACTATATCAGGGGATAATATTTTTGGAGTAATCTTTCAAAAATCTGTTGTGTTTTAGGTGGAACAGTTTGTAAGGATTTTTGGAAACATTCTTCCCCAAAAATTAAATTGGGGATAAAACAAGTATCACACTGCGGTTACGTTATAACGGTTTGAAAATGCAAGCGGGATCATTTGTGCGTTCACTTATCATGGGATGTTTTGAAATGTAGGAGAGAAAAGAAATGTAAACATTTTGCGACATGTAGCTTACTTCCTAAGACGGATATAGAAAGGTAACGGAATAAAAAATTATTGCATCAAGTGACTCACAGAGTTTGTTAGTCAGAACGCTGAACTGCCATTGATGAGTTTATGAAACGGCTGAAATGAGTGGAGTAGGGAGGAGGACTGGAACAAAATAATCATCATTGCAATAGCAACTGCACCACGAAGACCTTTTTTGCACGGAGAATTCAAGCTTCAAACGTTCAATGACCAACACTTCGTAAAAGCTTAGCATCCTTGGGTTTCGAAATTTGAAGATAACACAGGAAGTTTCAAGTTGCTCAATGTTTTCGGCGATATCTAATAAATGTTGTGTCACGGAACAGGCTGCAGATTTTCCTCCACCAAATGCCTAGTTTTTCGGAACATACTGACTCATCCTGGTTGACAGGTGACGTTTAGTCCTTCTGACGTTCAGCGAGCCAAAAGTCCATTAAAAAGGATGGATACAACTAAAGGTGACTGAATCGTTAAATTTGTCTTTGTTTGCTTACGGCACTTTTTCGCACGAGTTCACTACAGAGGGTGGTGTTCTTCAAGGCTGCACTCTCTCTGCTTTTCTATTCAACTTTGTTTTATATTTTATAATGGGAACAGCCCTATCCTTGTGCGAGAATAGCGGTATCGATCTACTTCCAGGTAGCAGGCTATCTGATCTAGAGTATGCAGACGACATTATGCTGCTAAGCGAAGATACATGTAAGTCGCAAGCTTTTCTGAATAGCTTGAGTGTCAGCGAAGCCATGATCGGTGTGCATTTTACACCTGCACCATTTTAAACCCGGTCTCCGAAACCGGGTCTTAGATATTAGTTCCAATTCGGATATTTCAGCAAAACTTACATCATGTTACAGACGTTGTTTCATACTTTTTCATTCCCAGAAAACGCAACCTATACCTATTTCTAGGATAAATTTTCTGGTCACTATGTCAAGAGTATCTTTTGGAGACCACTGCTGAGGCTTTAGCGTAACTTGTTTGACTGTCAAAATCAGGTGATCGTCGGAAGTTTGCGCTCTTCCGGCAGCTCTCTCTCAGGCCAAGTCAATTTACCCACGAGTGTTGTCAGCAAAAAAACTATTCACTATAAAGACATAAACGTCACATATCATTCGGTATTCAATAACCATACCGTCTCGTCTTCGCACTCCACCAGATAATGTCCGTGTAGCAAGGGGACATTCAAAGTGGATACTGGAACACGATACATTACTATTGGAACAGTGTCGTTGCATCGTTGTGTTACCTTGTTGTTGAAAATTTTCCAAAAATCAACGCTAAATTACCATTTTGTGATAATGAGTAACAATCTCATTGCACATTTCGTTGGAAACTCAAAATGAATTCTTATCCTATCTATCTTTTCACTGTCACACTTTCCTCCATTTTGTGGTCATCTACGTGGGATCGAATCTACAGGTTTTAGTGATGGATCGTTGGAAATATTTGCACTTTTACGGGCTAGAGAAAGCCCCGAACGGTTGGACTCGATTTGTTCCAACAGCGATGTTTGATAGCGAACTGATTCTGACCGAGGACGGTCAAAATGTGGAAAAAGAGGCTGTCATATCCGGACTATTCCCGAATCGTTTTCGTAACATGAGTAATGCGTTGCTCAATGTGGGAATCATGCCGGTGAGAGTAATCATTTGGGATGCCTTTGTGAATTTCCAATTCCAATTCTCAATCTGTATTTTATGTATATATTACTCCGGTGGGATTTTATTAATCCCTTGTATGCAATACTGTCATACATATACACGCGATGGAAATGTTTGTGATAACCAACAAAGAGCACTGGACAGCTGTTTCGTCCTGTTTGAGACTCGCCAGAAGTGCGTACTTTTTGTGTCCCTGTCAGGACTCGAACCGCGAAATTTTGGGTTGGGACTTAAAACCCTTATCTGAGAACTACATGGTCGAAGGTCATCATCTTGTGCGAATGGTTCAATCAATTTTATGGTAGCAAGCTCGAGTTAATCCATTCAAATGTTAAGAGGCACCAGGTGCCTGCTATGCTGTGAATATTTGCCACAATGGAAAATTTGGGGATGATCGATAAAATAATATTACATTTACAAACTAGTGGTTGCCATTTAAGATATTTCAATAGGCAATACAGCTAATGAGTTATTAGCTTTAAGAGCGATCAACGGAGCACGTGGTTTTCCCGAATGTGTGACAACTTCCGTGAAAACTGACGAAGAAACACAAGTTGATCCACAAAATGAAGTGACTTATCGGAGAGTTTTTATGCTTAGTCCAAAGTATGTGCGCATATGCGTGTGTGTAATCATGTGCTCAAGAGTCCCATGAAATTTTCCGGTTGACGGATGTCGATCCGCGATATGTGATGTGTCAGACATCAACATGCACTTCACAATGTATCTGACTGAATTGCGCAATACTGGACTGATATTGTATTCGATCGGTTATTATATGCAGCAGATCTATACCACGGTTGTACCTCATCCCGTCATTGGACAATAGCCTTTCTGACCAACGCACCCGAATTGAGACTTAGGCAAAATTCCCTATAAATCAAGGAAACCATAGGTCGAACAGTGTACATACCTAAACCTTATACTCCATGAAGCACCCAGTACAAAGCTATGATCCTACGCAGAATCATGAATAACTGAATCATTCTTATCACCACGTGTCTCGCCCACTGAGCTACAAAAATCGCACAAATGTAACTAGGTTGTGAAATGTTATGACGAAGCTGAGTAACAAAGGGAGAAGCTGTAGTTGACCGGTTGTCGCCAGTGGCCTTGCGGATAGAATGCAGTGGGAATCATAGATTAGAAAATCTAATTACTTTTAGTGAATCAATTCGTATTGGATCTTGCTATCCAGTGAAATACTTTCAGTTATTTCACTACATTCTTACACCGTTGTACTTTGGTAGGTGTGCCTTTCAATTTTGGAAATATGTAATCAGCTGCATTGGGCTCCAAGAAGTCGGGGTAATTTGAAGGAACTTCTGCCTCAATGGGGTTTGTTCAGTAGGTTATCGAGCTCCTAGACTGAACCCACTCATGCAATGATTCATTTATCGATCTTACATGACCTGATTTGTTTCCTTAACCGGTACACTGAGGTCAGTTGCCGCCGGGTTCGTTCATTATCGTCGAAAAGCTTAGTCGATCAACGGTCGAAGACATAACGGTCCTCGGTTAGGAGTAAACAGTAGGCCACGTCAGAGGAAACGGGCTCGAAAAGAGACCTTAAAAGAACTCCAGTGTATTGTCTAATGAGGTTTCACGCGCAGACAGTCGTCAGCCTAATATGTGAAAATTGAACCACAACAAGACCGTTCACAAATCCCGAGAAGGTAAATGTGAACGAGATGATGAGAAACAAAACTGGTTGAATAGCTATCCACGTGCAGCAGTAAGTTGCATCGGTGAACAAATAGTTTCACTTAACTGGTTTCTACATTTGTCACTATTTGTTTACGTTTCTTATCATCAACGACGGTCTCCTAATCAACTCAAAATTCTATGCTTCTGGGTGTCGTGGTGCGGAGGATCACAGGAATTACCATACATAGTCAATTATACTGTGACTGAAGACGGAGAACTATTGAATGCAACCGGAGTAACCGTCGATTTGCTAAACCTGATGGCCGAACGATTCCTTTTCCGGTAAGTAAAATCCATTTGTTTTAATCATTGTTTTCCGAGATGCTCGTTGGTTGGT